TAATATGATGCATTAAAATGTAATTTCCTTCCTCTTTGAGACTACATTAWTCGTACATCGAACTTTGTTAAATACTTTATCGATACGTTACTCGGCGACATATTTCAAAATTATTATATTCTTGGTCTACATTAATCAGCTACTAATCTCAAAAATTAATGTTTTGTCATACGCTTGTAATAAACGACGTCCCGAGTTGTGCGATTAAATTTAATTCATGGACATATATTTATATATATGTCATATGTATATATAATAAACATATACATTTGTGTATAATAAATATATATATATATAATATGTATGTTCTACGAATATAATGTACTATTTTATCACCCTTTTTGATAATAATAATTACACAGAAGCTTAAGCCGGGTCTTAGCTGGCCGTCGCTGTGGGTGTGTATGTGTGCGAGTTTTTTTTACATTCATCGTATCACGGACACCCAGATTACCCTAAGCGTTCCAATGTCCACATCATCACGTACGGACCGTAAAACGCGCCACGCACAATAAACAATTCGGTGGACCATTCGCGCCCGGCCATATATTAATGCATCCTCAGACATCGAGCTTCGTTCAAATTATCCCTCGACATATTTTGTAATATACCTGAAAGCCCCTTCAACATACAACTGAAATTCGTGATTACCATAAACGCGTGATTAAGTGTTTGGGAATGAATACTGCAGCAACAGAATATCTACCTATATGGGTTCACATGTTATTATTTATGCCACGGCACATTTTATTATTATTATAGTTGTCCGAATGAAAAAAAAAAATTCCGTAGTTAAAATATTTTGGGTTTGACTTTTATCGATACCACAAATTAATTTTATTTTTATAATTTATTGTCATAATAAAAATTACACAATTTTCAATTAAAAACATAATGAACTATAATCGATTGTTATTTTTTTTTTAGCGAAAAATTGTTTTCCACTATAAATAAACGGTTTCTTGCACTAAAAATGTGTTTAAAAAGAAGAGTGAAAAATAATAAAACTATAAAATATTACATTTTTATAACATCAAATACCTAAGTTTTATCTTTACAATAAAATAATAATTGTTCGAAGTCATTGATTATTATGCTTAGTTTTCGGCATGGTCCTTTACTCAGAATACTAAATATTAGTAAATGTAAGTTTTTTTTTTTTAAATACCTATTACAATCTGTAAATCAATTCAATAACAATACACAGGCTTGTATCGATGCATATATAATAAGATTATCATTGTAAAAATATCTGGTGTATTGACACAATTTAATAAATAAATAAATAAATAAAAAATATATAATAAAATCCAAAGTAAAAAAAGATATAATAATAACGTTATCTTGTTGAAAAGCAATGTCATAATTAAGTATTATGTAGAAAATAATATTCTGAAAAAATAAATGTTTTTCAAGGTATAAGTTGAGTGTATGACTATATTTTTTTTACGCTTTAACCTGATATAAAATCAAGTCTTGTTTGTAATGTAAATTGCCGCTGAAATCATATTCGTTATCCCAAATGCAATCTGCGCATAAATATTATATACACATTTGGGACCACGTTACGATTTTATCAAAGGTAACTACATATCGTTACAATTACCCTCGGTGTGTGAGCATGTTAATTTGAATAAATAAATGACAAACGAAAATGGGGTGCAGTGTACGTTGAAGTCTATACGAAAATATTGAAATAATGATAATAATAAATAAATACCAACACACAAATACAGATTATATTATGTAAGAAAAAAACTCAGAGATAGATGGGTAAATTGATTTTTGCGGTCTAAAGTCCAGGTAAAACGCATGCAATTGACCAGTAGTTCATCAACGAACCATTATTAAGCAGTGTTAAAAGGAGATTTAAAAATTACCATGAACATTTTATCTGACAAGTTATCTAAAGAGTTTTGAATTAAATTTCATAAAATACATATTAGAATCAATTATTCACAATGAAATAATTATAATTGAATGTATTATGTAATTTTATAATAATTACATTACAATTATTACTACGGAAGTGTCCATGCAGTTTATGATATCGTACACAAGTCCATCGTATAAATTAAAAATAATATAAATTAAATTTTATACTTCCTCTTATGGTTTTTAAGGAGTTTTATAATATAAATATTATACTAAGAGCAACTATAGTAATCGTACACATATGCACATGTTAGTGCTATGAAATAAATATAATATTTTAATGTATTATGCCCAACACATAATATTATATTATTATGTATTAAAAAAGGTACTCAATATTTGTGTTCATATAAAATAACAAAAGAAAATCAGTATTTATAAATAACTGTAACTAATGGCCTTTGTCACCGATGTTTATGAGAACAATAAAAAAATAAAAAATTATTGAACTTATTGTGTTGATAGCTTGACAAAAAATTATAGACATGTTTTTGAATATAATAATGTGTAATTTATTAAATTCATAATTATCATTAGCTATGTGATATATTGATCATTGATTTATTTGTTGTTTAATATTTAAATTTAATTTAAAAATACTACAGCCATACAGGTAAATAGAACTTCAAAAAAACCTTTTTTTTTTTTTAACAAAAAACGCATTTCGGTTCAATGCACTTTATAGATTTCTATATGCTTCACCCTCCACGGAAAATGAAATTTTAACAAAAACAGATTTCGACCATACTCAACTTATAATAGGGAAATCAGCGATCTGCGCACCAACTATATAATATTCTGTTATCCGTACTAAGACTAACAATTATTCTTTTAATACACACATAATAATAATAAACGTACAAATATTTGCCATTTACTTTCGAGATAACTTGCCTTCGTTTCTTATTGGTATTTCTATGAACTGCAGTACATAAATAAAAAGAAAAAAGTTGCTATTGAGAAATAATAATATACAAGCTTCATGTCGTGGTAACTATATATACACGAATACTCATAAATTGTCTTGACTAAAGATGTTACGATGAGATACACACGCACTGAGGACGTGACGACATTGCTTCTAGATAAGAAGTGGTCACGACCAAAAGGGTATAAAAATTCACTGTTTTCCAAAATAATAATATAAAAAACTGACATTCCAAGGGGCGATACACATTTGTTTTTAACCACCAGCTGTAAGTCGTCTGCTAACGGCCGAATCCACTCACGACAGCCGTTTTATTTTAATAGGACTTTTAACCGTTCTATTCTGGTGATATATTATATCATATGTATATACGATGACGAATATTATATCGTAAAAAACAAATCTCCACAGTGATCGTTACAGGGCTGCTGTGTGTATTTAAAAAATGGTTTTCTATTCGTGTGCCAACAGAGGGGTTTCTTGTCATATCAATCATAATACACGGACATTGGCTCTTATCCAGTCAAAAAGTGTTCACACTAGTTACTTGAAGAACCATTTTTATTAATACTTAATAGTTCCTTCAATTTAATGCATACATCGCATACACCGCTGTACAAAACCTTGTGGACATCTTAGTTTACCTATATATCTATACACTTCATAAAATATGTGTTTAATAATTATACATTATAAATTATAATCATACTTCACCCATTATAACGTTTATTTTAGTGTTTGGAAAAGATCTGCAACTTGTATAATACAATATTCTAAATAAAATAAATAACTAAAACCGTGTTATTTATTAGGTTTCAAACGGTAAAGACGAGTTACTGCAGGATTTTATTCATTGGACAAAAATACAAATTATTCTTAGACATTAAAAATCAAAATTATGAACAATTTCACAATACCTAGGCAGAATATTTATTTATTTTTTAATTGCTCCACTGCGCACTTCTTTCGTCGAGCCGGATAATTTTATGAATAATTCTGAGAGAAAAGTATTTTTCTATTAAACGTAATAATTTACACAGGCTTAGTTATTTTCCTAACTGTTTTCTCTTTTCACTTCATCTAACCGATATACCTACTGTTAACTAAGATAACGGATCAACGAATTTGGGTTTGGATAATTCATTTTCTATTACAGAAAAGGTTTRAAATCTAGTTTAATTTTAAATGGAATTTAAATACATTTGTTAGAACCTATTGTTGTTTTTTAATTTAATATTTGAATTACAATGTTGAGACTATGAAATACATAAAATTGTATTTTATATAAATAATATTATGTAGGTGTTGTGATTATGATGACTGTGTGTTCTTTTCATGAGTTCAAGTGTAGAATTCGCGTCAATCTTATTTGTCTTTTAAAAGAACATGATGATCATGAAAAAATAAGGAAATAAAATTACATGTTAAAAAAAGCCGTGTCATTCTAGTAGTCAATCGAGTACAGSTCTAACTATTAAACATATAAAATAAAGATTACAACTAAGAACTTAAAGAACCTACGAAATTGTTTAATCACCTCAGTTTAATCACAATAGTATAGAAATTATGGATTTATAAATCATAAATAGTTTTTTATTCATTCTTTTATAATATAATATTATGTTTTTATACAGAAAGAATCATCACAGCTCTATTTTTGTTTTGATCAATGAGACCAACCACAGAAATAGTTTCTAAAAAAAGGGGGTCGATAACGAATATGTGATTGATGTGGCAAGTTGTAATTGAAATAAAAACCAGTTCTATCTAGGACTTACGTATGGGGTAGCGACTATTGAGGTCAACGGACGTTTGAAAACAAAAAGGGTTTGCCACTTATCTGTCATGGCCAGAGTTACATTATAGCTCTTTGGGGATGATGTTCATGTTTCATTCAAATCACTTCTGAAAATGATGTGGACTGAAATTATTTATAACAACGCGTACCAGACACCAGTATATTATATTATTCGAAAACCTCCTCACAAAAATGTCCAAATCAAATTTGTAATACTTTCTACCAAGTAGAGAAACGTTATCACAATATTATTGTCTATTGCAATTAGCAATAATACTGTTTATAATATCTATATTAAACTATACTACTAACACACGTCATTTGAGTTATTGCACTTACAGTCTTTCGATATCGGAGGGTAAGTTCTTGGGCACTTCGTCCAAACCTTTCCTGGAACAATCAGCCGTTGTCTGATCGCAGGAACACAACCACGGGCATCTAGAGTTGTCGGACAACAAATCGTTAAGGTCATCGCCCCGGACCCCGGGGTCCAGGGCCATTAACATCAAACACAAGACACTGGACACCTTCATGTCCACAAATCCTTATTAACTCGTGAAGAGAAAAAAACGGAACCGGTAAAAAATAATACTTATAATTCTAACAACCACGTCCGATCACACTGGCCTCGAAGGTCCTGGTCGCGTGGCGTTTAACCGCATCGTTATCTTCGCACTCGCCGAGCGTACTTAAATAATTATTACGAGTGTAACGCGTGCGTATAATATTATTATGTTTATAATAGATCGCGATCGAAGGGACGATGACGTACGTGGTTGCAGTACGCGTTATACACGGCGCGTCTCGCGTGGTGAACTGGACCATCGACGAACGGATGGGGTCGGCATGACCGGCGCACAACGACCTCTGACGGTGCATGGCCACAACCGCCGACGTCGTTTGAACGTAATAAAGGAGCATACTCGATTTCCTTGATCCTGCCAAACACGTTTTTTGTTTTCGTTTTCGTTTTTTTTTGTCTTTCTTTTAATTTTGTCACTGTGGCCCACGACTGTCGTCGTCTCCTGCACCGTCACGGATCATTTGAACGGAACTTTTGCTCGGACTAAAGAAAAAAAAAATATCTAATGGATAGATAAGTATGTTTTTACCCACCGCATGTCCCCCACGCATCTCCGCGTTCCGTTTTCCGTGGTCGGCTCGCATTCTAGATTGCATTTAATCAGATATGAAAAAATTAATAATAATAATATAATATAAAGACCTCCTTTCGATCTCTCTACACTCGCGGTACGTACAGCTGATATCAAACGATATTACTTTTGTAAATCATGTTTATGACATTAACTCTTGATCATAAATCATTACTTCAGTTTATTCCAACATTCGATATAATAACCACAAATTAATAWGTATAAGTTCTTTCTAAAATGCAATTATAATATCACAAATGGCGATATCAGCTCTATAGTTATGATAATGYAYAAGTATATTTTGTTTCTTAAATAACAATAGTGTCGTACTTGTTGTCTACGCAAATTATTAAAATAAATACGTACATCAGTGGTGTATAATATTAAGTAGGTACCCGTGCAATAAATTTGCATTAGAAAGATAATTTTACCGATGACACAATACCGAGAGCGAACGTTGGTGGCATAATTAATGTATACTATTAATATAATAATCTTATAACAATGGCRTAGCGATATTGAGTATAGCAGTTTTAATTTATACGTAAAATTATGTTTAATATTTACTCCAAGTTAAATCCAATATGTACCATTAAATATTATAATCMATTGTGCGAAATAATGTCAATTCATACACTTTATTGCAATATAAAAACAACAAACGATACAACGATAGTGTTCATTTAAAGTAGCAGAGAAATGTCAGTCCTAATTTATTGAACTGCTTATAYATAATACAATTTAATATTTTGCAGTCCTGCGCGTTTAAATCACTTTTAAATCATTGTTTTCTATATTATTATTAYGTTGCAGCTTCAATAGCCTTTGTATAATTTTAATTGAACCGCGGGCGAGCATTGGAATGTTCTGCACCATGACTGCCTTAAGAGCACAATTATAACGGTACCTGCTATAACTCTCTATATATGTATATACCTAATTCTAATTGACTAATTGATGTTTTTTTATAAAGTATATTACATTATTATATATTATATAATTGAATTGMAAAAATGTAAAAACTACGAAAAGAATCATTTCATACTCGAATTCGAATTTTTTCAAATAAAATAAAATCGAAACCGGCACATATATGTATGGCGTGATTTTCGCATGAATAATATATTGAAGTACCTATACAAAAGAATCAAAAAAATAACAGTGGAAAAGTCAAAAGCATGAATTCAGAGGTTCGATCTCAAGATGTTCGATGTGTATGTATAGATTTTTGTTCCATTTTGAAACTATGCAGGATGAAAACATTCCGTAGTACCATTTCCATAATTTATACACAAATATATCAGCATTTTTACAAGATGCGCTCATATTYCC